ATCAAAAATCTGTGGAAATTTCATGAGATATCACTCTAGAACTGTCCTCTTGCAAGATGAAATATGGGTGCCTGCGACTTCACATGCTCTTCAGTTCTGGTCAATGATGCAGGTGGTGGGAACGCATGAGACAGATATATAGTCTCTGCTGATCTTTTGATTCTTGAGGGATGTGAATTAGAACAGTGGTTTTCGGATGCCGTCATCTGCTTAGATTGCTTGCATTGCAGGAATGTTACGACTTGTGGAGAGAGTGTAAAGGAAGGATGGTTTGAATTGAACAGCTTGGGAGGTGAAGGTCTCACCTTTATTTTATGTCGATTGAGGTACCACAAGCAGGAGGAGGAGCACGAGAAATGTGGGTGGGAGAATCTGGAGCACCAGATTTTACTGAGGAGTGTGCATCTGTCCAATGGATCATCATCACTTTTATTAGTGGGATGTGACCTGTCCCATAAGCTGTTGTGGAAGATGAGTTGACTTGGGGTGGTGCAGATGGAGGTGACAGACAGCAACCCATGCCACACAAAGTTGGATGCCTGGTTCTCTCTCCACTAGATTTGTGTGATATGCTCTTTTTACTGCATTCCAACATGAATATTACTCCCAGTGGGCAAAGATGGTGGTGGTGGTGGAACAATTGGCCATACAGTCCTTCCCATCTCAATTTGAGTATCAGATTTGGTGATTGGCCCCACATTGCATTAGATATTTATGTCAATCATCAAGTGATGGAATATTTCTCCAAAGGAGATGTAATTATTTGCTTTTTCTTAAAATAAATTATTATTTTTTAAAAATAATTATAGATAATTTTTTTATTATAAAAAGGATAAATAAATTTGACTCTCGATTAAATTATTAACAAGTCAATCAATGACACCATTATTATACTCTCTTAGATAATATAAGAGTTAAATTATTACTAAATTAAATATATTTGAGATAATGATTCATTTAAATAATAATAATAATAATAATAATCAAACTATGGTAAATTAGATGCTTGCCGAGATAGTAACTATCTTATCGGGGAAAGAAAAGGAAGATCGATCAACCCATTCATCATTCATCATTCATCTTACTTGAAGACAAAGAAGGCTCACCATCTTTCCCTACTTTTTCTTCCTTTTGACCAACATTAACACATAAGAGGTCCCATTCGGACATCAAATTCGTGTTCCTCAAACACGTGTCGCGTGATACGATTTGGATCAGGTCAAACATCTTTAACGTTGAAACGTGTGTCCATTATTCCACATCCCCAAATCTATGGCCAAGTCATGCTTAGGGTTTGACAATCTTGCGTTTCACTATAGGTTGTGATTGATGGCCCCCTACTACTACTACTACTACGTGACATGTTTCATGTTCTTATTTTGCGGGCCTTTTTTTTCTGTGATTTGTCATTACTAAGTTCATACTTTATGGCACTATTTATATTGCCCGGATATGAAGATGATTAGATATTCATATTCACTTTGTAACTCTTCTAGAACATCAATCAACACCTAACTCATGATATCCTCTGAAAATGTAATACAAAATGTAAATTAATTAATCAGCAATATTACGATATTTGTGAACTTTTACTAACTCAGTCAAGTCAAAAAAAAAAAAAATCATTCAATCCATTCCATGCGAATGCGAATGCGATGCGAACCAAAAAGTCAATACCGAAAAATCTATTATTGGTCCTGTCATGATTTATCGACCAATCGACTATCTTATTTTTCACATGAAATATATGAGAAATATTATCTATTAAAAATTATTCTAAAGATTATATATAGTTATATTAAAGTTTAAAATTGTCTCGGAGTCTCCTTCTACCACCTTATGAATGATAGGAGATGAAAGTGAGTTAGTCCCCGGATGAGAAAAGCCAAAGCGAATGAGATCAACAGATGTGTCCCAAGTCCAAGCTGATATCAGTCACCACCACCATCATTGTTGACAAACTAAGAAAAGACCAGCTTCGGTCTTCTCACACTCTTTCAGCTGAGGCCAAAGTTTCTGTAGTCCAGTTTGGCTGCAACCGGTGAAGGTTCTACCGGAGGCCTTCCGATGAGAAATTCCAAGTCAGGCTTTCTCATCTGAACTGGTCCAAATCAATATGAAGAAAGAGAATTCATTGACCGATGCGCATACTCCACACCATCTTCTTCCTCGCTGATCGACACCTTTTAACCTCAATTTTGCTTTGGAGGTGCATTCTAATCCTAATTATATATTGGACTTATCCTTCAGCCTCAATTCTAATCATATTATTTTGGTTACATTATCAAACGATGGATAAGATACTTAACAGAGAGATGAGTATATTTTGATGTTAGATTAATTATTCTTATCTTTGTCAGTCAGTCAAATTTAATCCTTATATATTTTTTTTTATTTTGTATGATTAAAGCTTGCTTAACTTTGTGTTTGTGTGGGCTTATTATTAGGGCCGAAGAGTCTTTCTTTTTTGTGTTGTTAAAGAAATAGTAGATCTAAGCCCATAACGATTAAGAGACTTTTGACACATTTTATTTGTGTAATCACTCTGATTGCTAGAAAACACTATCAAATCTTTACAAGAAAGATGATTGTGTGTTTCGGGGCCAAAATAAGATTTTACTTCGCGACGATCATTCGTCATCTGCCTCTAAATAATTTTTCAATCCGAATTTGTATTTCATTTGGTATTGTTATCACGCATGACTCAAAAGAATTAAAAGAATAAATCTTATAACATTTATTATTAGTTTCTTGTGATAGAGATTAGGAAGCAAGTTGATGATGGATGGATGTCAAGACTTGTTGATGAACAAATGTGTCGTGACTGATGATTCATCATGGCCTGGTCCATGGGTCGATGTCGGGAGTTTTCTATCGACTGAGCTAGATACCGAGGTCGATCGAGCCCTCGCGATGGGGTGTTGATCAGCATTTCTCGGTCCGGGTGCTGGTTGATGGCTCGCCCTGGGGATGTTGGTCGGCAACTTCCAAGGTTAGGACACTCGTCGGGAGTTTTCTTGCAAAAATGACATTCGTCGGGTGATTCCCGACTTTGGCACCTCCGACGAGCAAGTCAGTGATGGGTTGAATTGTTTTTTTCTCCTACTATGGCCGGATGCTGGCCATGGGCTTTTATACTATTGTATGACGATCAATTGCACGCGGGTTCGACGTGGCCATTGATCTTTAAGAGTTGAGATGACACTTATGATCGGTCGTCATCTCGGGATGCACAGAGCGACGTTAGACGGTGCTGCCTTGGGTTCTCGGGACGGGACATGTCGAACAACGTATTGGTACGGATTTTGACTTTGTGTGTGGAGGTGTTCCTTTTGTTGATTCTTTGGTTGGCGTGATGATACGTGGGTCAAACAATACCTTAGTACGGATTCTGACCTAACGTATGACATCAAATGTGACGTGTCTTAAGCCCAAAATATGGAGACTAAACAAATCATACTCCAAAGCTTGATGAGTATACTCATGTCCATAAACATTTCATGTGGATGGCGTGACTTATCTCCTACTTTCTTCTCACTCACTCTCTCTCTCTCTCTCTTACCTTTGGAGAGAAATTAATTTTATCTCTAATTTAACTAAACTCGAAGTGAGATGACAAAGGAAACAAAATAAAGTGAGATGACAAATTTGTTATCACGTCACGGTTGTCACAGTGATTGATGCATCAGTTCTACCAAATATTCAACCATTAAATGCATGGAAAATATGTCATGGCTGTTGCAACTTTATTTTCATGAATTTGGACTGTACAATTGATTGTCTTATATACATATATGTATACATATATATACATATATTTATATTTATATATATAAGATATTCTTTGCATTACAATGTGGCACATAAATGGCATTAATGCATACGCATCTGTAATAAGACTCATTTAAGAAACTCAAATTAATTCCTAGTAATTATGGCAACCAATTAAAAGCTTTTTTTAATATAAAACAACAATAAATATGCCTTTATAATTCTTGCCATCTTTTTTTGTTCTAACGTTCGATTAGATTTACTATAATACGCATATATTTAAGTCTCTTAATTTTACAAGGATATTTGTTTTATATATATTTATATATAAACAAATATTTGGTAAGTTGGATGGAGCTATCATGGTTTATTTCCAACCAAATTATGGATTTATTGTGCGTCATACGGTGGTAGTTGAAGTGATCAATCCTCACGTAAATCCATCAGGAAAGAAATCATATATATATATATATATATATATATATATATATATATATATATGTATAATAATTATTATTATTATTCAGAGAAATGATAAATTAATGGTTACATATCACACCGAGAAAAAAGAAAGGGTTATATTAGATGCATGATAAAAGAAAAAGAGAGAGAGAGAGATTGATGCATTGGTTATACCAATAAAATAATAATAATAATAATAAATAATAATGAATGAAATGTCAAATTTCTCAGTAATATCGTCTTGTCGAGTAATTGACTTTAAATTAAAAGTAATATTGAATCGAGGTTTTAAAACAATTGTAATTTGTTTTATTCACAGTGATTATTAGGCCTTTCTTTTCTTTCTTCTCATTTCATCTTTCATCGTCCATTTTATATAGAAATAAATAATAAAAAATAAGAGACATATATATGTATATTCTTATTTTTTTCCACAAGAAAATGTAAAAAATTAAGTCTTTTAAATCATATTTTCGCTAATCTAATTTTAGAAGAAAGAAACAAATCAGGAATTTGAACCCAACCATCCTAAGCGGCTTTTAGAATTCTTATTATCAAATATATATAAATAGAGGAAATTAAGTTAGAGAGTCGACTTTAATATAATATTTTATTTATTTTTAAAAATAAAAAGGATAGATAATTAAATAACTAAATTGTAAGGGGGCAATATGTAATTTGAACTGTACTTTTCAATCGCTTTCCCATCTGTCCTGTAATCTCACACGCTTTTTCTTCTCCTCCTCTCCCCCCGTCACTGCCTTCCTCCCCTGCTTTCCAATGCAACCTTAAAGCTTTCAGGCTCGCTTTGGTCCCATAAACCGTCTCCCTCCTCTCTCTGTCTCATTGCCTTCGCCGTTCCACTCCACATTTGTTCGTCCATTTCTTCCCAACTTCATTCTCTGCTCCCCCTCAAAATCCCAACTTCTTCTTCTTCTTCTTCTTCTTCTTCTTCTTCTTCTTCTTCTTCTTCTGCATTGGTCCTGTTTAGGAAGATTTAATCCGGTTCAACTCGCTTCTTGTGTTGTTGTTGTTGTTGGTTTAGTCGAGGATTTTTGTGTTTCGTAGTGAAAGTTGGGATTTTGGACATGGAAGGAGGAAGACGGGGGATGGACAGCTTGGTGACGGCCAGGCGCACGCTGGTGGTGAGCCTGGAGAAGTCGCGGACGCTGGGCACCGCCCTCGCGCGCGCCGGCCCCCGCCTCGACGAGATCCGGCAGCGCCTCCCCTCGCTGGAGGCCGCTGTCCGCCCGATCCGCGCCGACCGCGGGAAGCTCGCCGCAGCGGGCGGGCATATCGACCGCGCCGTTGGCCCTGCTGCCGCCGTGCTCAAGGTGTTCGACGCGGTCCACGGCCTCGAGCGGTCCCTCCTCGCCGACCTCCGCGCCGATCTCTTCGGCTACCTGTCGGTCCTCAAGCGCCTCGAGGAGGCCCTCCGGTTTCTCTCTGAGAACTGTGGCCTCGCGGTGCAGTGGCTCGACGACATTGTGGAGTACCTCGACGACCACTCCCTCGCCGACCCCCGCTTCATCGAGGCCCTCAAGGCCTCCCTCGACTCCGTCAAGCCCTCACCTTCGGCTCTCGACGGCGGTCTCCTCGTTGCCGCCCTCGACAAGCTCGAATCTCAGTTCCGGCGCCTCCTGGCCGATCACACCGTCCCTCTTCAAATGCCATCCGACATCGTCGGCGTCCCCGCCATCGCCCCTTCCCCCATTCCTGTCTCTGTCATCAACAAGCTCCGCGCCATCCTCGAGCGTACCACTGCAAACGACCGGCTTGATCGCTGCATCTCCATCTATGTCGACGTGCGAGGGTCCAATGTCCGCGCCAGCCTCCGCGCGCTCGACCTCGAGTACCTCGAGATCACGCCCGCCGAGTTCAACGGCGTGCAGAGCATCGAAGGGTACATCCAGAAGTGGTGCCGCCACCTCGAGTTTGCCATCAAGCACCTCTTCGAGGCCGAGTTCAAGGTGTGCATCGAGGTGTTCGAGCGTGCTGGACCGCGAGATGTAGCCCTGTCATGCTTCGCGGAGATTGCTGCACACGCTGGGATGCTCGCGTTCCTCCGGTTTGGGAAGACGGTCACCGAGACAAGGAAAGATCCCATCAAACTACTCAAGCTTCTTGATATCTTTGCGACATTGAACAGATTAAGGTTGGACTTCAACCGGATTTTTGGAGGAAAGGCTTGTGCTGAGATCCAGAATCAAACAAGGGATCTTATCAAGAGAGTGATTGATGGGGCTTGTGAGATCTTTTGGGAGCTCTTGCATCAAGTGGAGCTGCAAAGACAGATGCCACCACCTTCCGATGGAGCTGTGCCAAAGCTGGTGTCCTTCGTCACTGATTACTGCAACAAGCTTCTCAGCGAGGAGCATCTGCCGGTGCTCACTCAGGTTCTGATCATAAATCGGAGCTGGAAGCAGGAGAAGTTCCAAGAGAGACTCCTAACTGATGCAATTTTGGACATATTTAAAGCCCTCGAGGCAAATTTTGAGACTTGGTCCAAGAGCTATGAGGACATTCCTCTTTCCTATCTATTCGCGATGAACACACATTGGCATTTCTACAAGAATCTGAAGGGGACCAAGCTGGGGGAGCTATTAGGTGAGGCAAAGTTGAAGGAGCATGAGCAGTACAAGGATTACTATGCTACATATTTCCTGAGGGAAAGCTGGGGAAAGCTTCCATCTCTACTGAGTAGGGAAGGGTTGATATTGTTCTCAGGGGGTAGAAGCAAGGCACGGGATCTGGTGAAGCAGCGATTGAAAGCTTTCAATAAGTCCTTCGATGAGATGTATCAGAAGCAGTCAACTTGGGTTATATCAGATAAGGAATTGAGGGAGAAACTATGTCATTCGATAGTGCAGACGATTGTTCCTAGTTACCGGAGCTATATGCAGAACTATGGGCCTCTGGTGGAGCAAGACGCAAGCGCAAGCAAATATGCAAAGTACACAGCCCAAAGCTTGGAGAACATGCTTGGTTCTCTTTTCCTGCATAAGCCTGGGAGAACAATGAGTCTCAACATTAGGCACTCAAATGGAAAATTGAATAGTGTAATGACTAGCGTGTCTCGCTCTGCCTCAACTGTGAGCTGATGAAGTCATTTCTGTTTTTTAGGATGGAAGGGAAAGTAACCGTGGTTTCTCATTTTCTCATGTGTATAGCAGTTAAAAGCATGAGGACTGGGTCTGCAGCAATTGGTGTTGGTTCAATGAGCATATCATGGTCATATGCTTGGAGCGGTGGTATGGGTTGGCGGCTAGATATATCAGTTTGTACAAAGGTTTTCACGGATGATCGGTTAGGGAGCATTAACTGTGGAACCTAGCTATCAAGCATGCTACAGACAAACTAATTTGCACGTCTTGAGAAACAAAGACGATGGAGGGGGACACTAGGATTGGTGTCTTGACACTCATCTAGCAGAAGCTACTTCACTATACTGCTTTAGAGGTCTATTTCTCTCTCTGAATATGCATCAATATTTATTCATTTTAGGCTGGAGGATATGGGAAAACAAACATGCAATTTGCTTTAATATGTAAATTTTGTATGCCAAGGTGCACATGGCGCCCTTGTATCTTTCTTTTTGTCCATTCATCAACATTCATCTTATAGGTTGCAATATGCTAAGACCTAGATTAGATGCATGACGCAGGAGTAAACCACATAGAATCTTATTGTGGTGTTGTGATAGTTTAGCTTAAATCATTTCACAAGTTTGAATTTGCTTTGTTTTCCTCAGAGTGAAATTTGTGCTTGAGTTGTGCTGCTAACTAGCACTCTGCTTGTACATGACACTCGAAATTCCTACTCGCATACGTTTTGGCTTTGATGGTACTCAACAATTATACTATCTAAAATGTAAATCAAATGAAAATGGTGTTAAAAGACATGGTAGTGGTTTACAAGTTTGGAGTTCCACAAGGTCCAATAATTTGTGATGCTCATTCATCAGAGCTACTGAGTCCATGCCGGGTTTATCCTATGCTTATGTTGAGGACTCATTCTTGGTTGGAAATGCATGGACATTTTATATTCTTCATTATGCATGTCATTTCCTGAATCCAGTAAAGGCAGTATCTCCTGTTGTAGTTCTTGCTTGAATTTCCTCGAGTAATTATTACCCACATCCTAAGCGTTGACATGCCTTGTCTTGTCATAGTGGAATTTTTTATACACTATATATACAGGGTATGATAAGTCCGATCCTACTCTTTTAATTGGTAGAAGATTGGATTTCAGCAAGGTTTAGGGCTGCACTGCACAACTAAGATCTTCCTTAACTTTGTTATACCTAAGCATGTTTTAGTTGAGTGCGCATTCATTTGCTTTCTCTCAAAAAAGATCAAGTCGAAGACCCCCAACCATGGCAACCTTTTTCTAGGCCAAACACCTTGTGGATCTTATTTTAAGATCACATGAGATATCCGCGTTTGCCGGAGGAGGATCATGAAGTCTTTCAGGTAAGCTTTTTAATCTTATTTTCAAATTCTGATACTGTTCATTAGTGCTTTAAAAATGTTTTGTCCCTCCCTGTGAGATGGTCTATATACAGAGATCTCTCTATAATAATATTCTCAGAGGTATAAAAGTAGTGTGGTATATACTAACCCTTGCTTTAAGATGCTGCCCACCTTGCAGATGATAGAGCAACTTATTCTTTCATGTTTTTAGTGTGTAGAATTGCTTTTTGGGTGCTTCCTTTCTATTTTCACTTTTCCTGTTTGCAAATCATAATGTGCACAACAGACTATATTTTCAGACTTTGCAAGTCAGATATGTCATAAAGGTATTATGGTGATAATGAAGTGCATAAATATTGGTTATATGTTGAATGGTTAAGAAAGATACTTGTGATTCAAGTGATGTCCATGCAATCATAGTGCAGTTCATAACTTACATGGTTGAAGCATCTATCAGAAATTGGAGCTTTCTTGCCCTAGAAATCGGTTTATATCATTTCATTGTGAGAATTTTGCTTTGATTTCTACTATGATTTTGGCCAATCTAGTCTCAGAAAACCATAGAAAAACAGTTGTGTGCTTTCAATTGGGATTTAGGTGTCTTGGCACTCAGTTGAACCATCCCTGGGACAAAAAGTGTCAAGTAGGTAGCTTCATCTACATTTAAGAAAGGGACATCCATATGAGAAACCTTGAGAGGAAGGGAAATATTAATGTGGTAGGCAGAGAGCACAAATCCTTGGCTAAGAGTATCCCACATGTTATTCTAACACAACCATCCTCTTCAATGTGCAGACCAAATGAATGTGACATGAAGATGAAGAAGAATCACTACTTGGATCCATGCTCCCTCTTCCATGCATCACCCCATTGAAGGCCATGGCCACTCTCACACACCATCTTTTTCTTCAGTGAACTCAGAGATGTCTCTCTTGCTACCATATGGTTCCAATTTGTGCACCACAAGCAATAGGTTGCAGCATATTTATCCCCTCGAGCATTGTCAAGATGAATGCATCAAGTAACCTTCTTGTCTACATCTTACTTGTATCAGACTTGTCTACATCTTCCATCACAGTGGATGCATCAAAGGTGATTGGGGCTTATAAAGCAGCAGTAAAAGCCTTTACTTTTTCTAAAACAGTCTTTTACTTTTCAAATTTTCTTGGAAATCACTTATACTTTGAAAATTTCCAAAGCATATATCTCTATGTAAAAAGATCATTTTATCCATTCTTTCATCAAACATATTATTGTCGGTAGCTCACAAGGGCCACCTTCGGTAATCCCATCGGCTCACAAAGACAATAAAGCGAAAAGATAAAAGCGTGGTTCGATCAATTAACTTTGACCTACATCCACAGACGAAAGAGGAGCAAATCACTATTATGAAAAAGAACTATTACAAATGCCTTAGGAAGATGTTCCTAGGTCATAAAACACCCGAAAATACTAAACAAGAAAAACTCAAAGTATAAGTCCAAACTATTTAACTGAGTGTGGACTTAAACCAAAGAAAATACTTAGGTTTTCTTATGGTGCATTTGATTTTAAAGCTCAGACCCTTATTTATAATTCCAATAGGAGATAACAAGTTTGATTTTCCCGATGTGGGACTATGGGATTTGCCAAACTAGCATATGATCACCCCTTTTCCCTTTCTTTGTGAGTAAAAATAGGCGACGTAACCTCAGGACTACGAACAATTATACGAGATAAAGAGATGCTGTCGCAATGGTCGAAGAGGGTAAAATATTCATTTTGAAAAAAAAATATTATTATAATTGTTTTCAAAATAGTAACGTTATGAAAAAAAAATATCGAAAAGTAATAATGGATGGAAAGATTTTAGGTTGATATTTGCTGACGAAAGACCAGGAAAACATAGGGTCTAATTCTCTCATCCATCGAATCTTATCTCTCCAACTATTCTCTTCTCACCCATCTTAAATCTTATCTTCCCAAGATGTTCACGTCGGCACAATATAGTATATGTTCGTTGTTCCGCGTACATTGACCCTGGGGCACGTAGATTGTGGTGGGGTATGTGTGCGGTCGTCGGGCCCGCGTCGCTGTCGCGAGCGTAGACACGTTTTATAGGCCCTGTGGGAACGTGTCGGGGCTCCCTCTCTCTCTCTCTCTCTCTCTCTCTCTCTCTCTGCGTCTGACGTAACTGTGCAGCATGCCATGAGGGAAGGGACGGCCACCCTGCTCCCACGCTGCCGGGGGGCTGCTTACGCGTCGGTTTACGAGAATAGCGCTGCTGAGGCTTAACAGGCAGAGGAGGAGGAGGAGGAGGAGGAGGAGGATGTCGTCTCTGGTGGTGCCCAATGCGGGACTGAAGAATCATCACGTTGGCCTGCCAGTGTACCTCCACGGAGAGGAGCAGGTTGAGAAGAAGAGGAAGGAGGAGGCGGAGGTGGTGCGGAGGAGGAACGGGTTCTGTTTGGGGAGGAAGGAGGTGGCGGCGGAGTCATCAGAGAGCTCGTCGATCGGCGCTGCGTCGTCCGAGGATGAGGGCTCACGCCAAGAAGGTAGGGAGGCGAAGGAGGAGGAGGTGGAGAGCAAGAGGAAGGATGGGGCGGCGCTGGGGTCTCTGGATTCCTTGGAAGACTCTCTTCCCATCAAGCAAGCCTCTTTTGTTGCCTTCTCTCCTCTCTCTCTCTCTCTCTCTCTCTCTTCGTATTTTCTACGATTAATTATCTATTTATTCTTCTCTCTCTTTCTATGATTATGTTGGTTGGCATGATCATGTCAGAAAGTTCTTCCAACGTGATGTTCTTAATGGTCTCATAACACAATCTTCCTCCGAACCATCGCAGGAGAGGACTATCCAATTTCTTCTCAGGGAAGTCGAAATCATTTGCCAGCTTATCAGACGCTGCCACCGCGAGCGCAAAAGACATGGCGAAGCCCGAAAACCCCTTCAACAAACGCAGGAGACTCCTCATGATGAGCAACATTAGAAGTGCTTCCTACACTTCACTCTCGTCCCGAGATCACACGGTGAAGGAAGCAGATGAGGAAGAGGAGGAGTAGGAGGAGAAGCATAAAAGGTGACCTTCCTCCTTGGCTCCCTTCCCCCACAATGGCAACAATGACACGAAGAAGAAGAAGAAGAAAGAATTTTAGATCTCCTAGATCCTCCTCCCTGTCTGATCTCCAACATGTTCTTCGATCTTGCTAACAAGTCCCGATGCCTTTTTCATGGTGAGATTTAGTCAGAATAATCTTAAATTTGTTTTTTACTGTCCACAATATTCGATTGTAAGCTGTAAAGATGAAGCGAGATTTATCCGATCACAAAGCGTTCGTCAAACATGAAACAAATGCTAGCAATAATATTATTAGCAGCAGAAAACAGTAGCTTTGTACTTGGAATGGCTTTGGGAGCCGCGTGCAACGCACGTGTCGTTCCACCCGACCATTTAGATTTGCTCGATCTGTGCCACAACCGTCGGTCTTTCTATTCCTAAACTCGGCTGCTCGTCCATCCGTTTGTATGATCTCAGGATGATAGATTCTGATGTGAAGATATGGAATGGAAAATGGATGTTGTAATGGATTCCAGTAGAGAAATCGAGTATTATTTGGATTTGGATTGAAGCAAAGGTAGATCCCTATTCCAACTTAGATCCCACTGGTTTGGATCTATCACTGCTCAGTCCAATGCATGGAATAACTTAACTCATCGAGTTTAAATCATTGATTTAAAATATTTGAACTTAATACTACCCCATATAATCCATTCTATATCAATTACATATGCATATTATATTTATATATCGATTATATTCTGTGTGGTTTTGGATTGGCTGGCAAATAGTCCCCATCACTAAAGTTATATATTGGGAATATATTTATATTTTTTAATATATTTTTTATTTAATAATAATAATCCTAAGTATTTTATAAATAATAGATAAAAATAATATTTGATAAAATTGTATGTCAAGAGTTGTTGAATATTACATAATAAAATTATGCTTTTAAAATTAAGATATTATTATTTAAATTAATAAATAAATAAAAATAAATATATGTAATCTTATAAAAATTTATATAGCCCAAATATATAATATAATATAATCATATAAAATAAATATAAAAATCAAGAGAAATGATGAGGAAAAGGATTTCTATCATATAGTAAAGAATTTTATGATTTTAGATAATGTCATATGATATATTAAAAATTTATAAATTTATATTAATATTATATAAGTACTAAAATGTTAACACTATACTAACCTAATATTAGCATTTGAGTATTTTCATTGTAACATCAAAGTCAAATATGATCTCTTAGAGAAAATTATCAAACACTAACTCATATTTAAAAGATGCATTTTGACGCAACATACATTTCAAATGTACCCTAAATCATTGTCAAATGATAGATGTGATCTTGTAATCACAATTATTGCTTAAAACAATAGCATCACCATCTTCCACCAAATTTAAAATAATCCTATTGTCTTATATATGACAACACCAACAAGTAGGAATATAAATAAGTGGATTGTGTGCTGTAGTTTCCAATTCAACATTTGAATCTCAAATCTATATGTAAAATGATATTATGCCATTTGTATAGTCCTTAGCATACACTCTCCCACATAAACAAAGTCAAAAGATCATTTCTACCCATCTTTCCTTTTTCCCCTTTTTTTTTTTTCTTTTCCATTATAATTTTATATTAATAATAATAAAATTATTATATCCCTGTAAAATAAACAAAAAACTTACATATATATATATATATATATATATATATTGATGTTTAAGTTTAATTGATATTAACGCTTTAATCAAAATTTATATTAACATATTAGTAATTTATATTTTATGACTCAAACTAGTTACTGATAAACATGGATTATAGGGATCAATCATTGGATTATGTGAATATCTTCAGACATATTACATATATAATTTATAAGTGTAAATACATTATTTCAAAACATTGCAAGAATATATCTGCAAAAAAAAATTGTCTCTTTTTTTTTCAAAAATTCCTAGAAAATATCCACAAACAAAACATTGATTTCCACTGTTGATGAACAATTCTCATTTCATTAATTTGACCACCTCAATTTGTCAAACCGACGGCCAATGTCAACACATCCCACACGAAAAAGTCAGCTTTCAACTCCGCGCAGCAAAATTCACCGCAAAGTCAACTTCCACACGGCTGGTCAAAGCCATGGACGTGTTGAGGTGTCAGCAGGCTCCAAACTCTCGCCCGCCCCGACACAGGCGTCGCCGCCTCCGCGCGACTCACGTTTAGGTACCATCTGAGCTCACTCTCCTCCTTTGTCGGCTTCTTCGCTTTCCTCCCAGGTGGAATCCACTGGTTCTGCGAGCTGTCGCTTTGGCCGCGTCCGAGTAAAAGCTTCTTCCCCGTTTGAGACTCCCAGTGCGGAGCTTTAAGGCCTGAAAAGACTCGAGCCTCGGTGTCTTCTTCCCCTGTCATTCCTCCCTTTCTCCGGAGAAGCATGGCGGTGGATCCGAGGCAGGTCCTGGCGGGGCTTTTGACGGTCTCCATGTTCGCCATGGTCGGGAACATGATCAAAAGAGATCATTTTGATTCCATCGAGGTAACGGGTTTCTTCTTCGTTTCCTCTTCCCCTTCTTGTCTGGTGGATGTTTGCACTGTAGTTCGAGTGATGCTACAGCAAAACTTCATCTGTCAAAGCTTTGTATCTTGAACTCATTGTTTCACATAGCTCTGCATGCTTGCATCTTAATTATGCCTCTTAAATATGGAATGAACTGCTTCACATTTGCCTATCATTTCTAAGATTGGTTGCAGCATACGAGAGTGATGGATGGACAAATGATAGCAAAATCACTCGAAATGCTTTCTTCTAGGCAAGCAAGGTTCAGAAACTCACTCGGGTTTCGATTAAATCATCTGCATATGCAATCACCATCAGATATAAGCTGGCTGAGAGAGGAAAAAGTGTTTGTAAAAGAGAGATCGTTTGGTTTCTAAGACTAAAAAGTCCACAAAATCTATAGCACTCTCCTTCTTTCCTTCTAAAACAGCCCTTTTTATCTTTCTTTTAGGTTTGATATGTCCTTTGTATTGTCACATTCAAGTATCCATGCATGTCCTCAGGTGAGTCTTCAAGATGTATCAGGTGTTCCGGTTGATGTGTTCAAGCCTGAAGAGAAGTCGATTACCCATGCATTAAGACTGAGCGAAGGACATAGGAAAAAGAGAAACCAGGAGCTTAAACCTTGCTGGAACAGACCAGTCTCGAGTATGTATCAGAAGTTAAACTTGTAAGAATCCCTTTCTTTTCTTTGTTGCCTGTGGAAATTACTTTGATCTGTTCTCCCCCTGGATTTGCTTCTTCAGAAGATGTAGAGCAGTCACGAGGTTACATTACATTCTCTCTAAGAAGTGGCCCAGAGTACCATGTCTTACAGGTATGCTGACAACGATCCACTTCTTCATGGTCATGTTTCCTAGAATCTGATCTCCAACATCAATAAAGTAAGCACAAGTAGTTATACTGTAGAACATGCAATCCACTGTTGGTGATCTATTTCATCGGTTAGGTTACTGATGCTGTGGTCATTGCAAGATATCTGGGCGCCACACTGGTGCTCCCTGACATCAGAGGAAGAAAGCTTGGTCAACAGAGGTATTGCTTCTTTGATTTCGGTATGCTCTTCCTCTGCAAATCCTGAATCTGATCGAACAGAAGCTTTTTCTTGTGGCCATGTGTACTTGGTGAAAGACTCGCATCATTGCAGGAACTTCCGAGAGATGTATGATGCGGATAAGTTCATCCACCGCCTGAGTGGTGTCGTTAACGTAGCCGACCAGCTTCCGGCTGAAGTAGCAGCTCGGATGCCATCTCTTGTTCGAGTCCCTCATGGCGTATCTGAAGACTTCATCATCCAAAACATCAAACCGATCTTCCAAACCAGTCATTACTTGAGGCTCGCGAGCTACTTCACCTCAGTCGATTGGAGGAGAAGGGAGAAGCGCAACGGCGACTTGGATTCCACCGCTTGCTTGGCCATGTTTGGCAGCCTCGAACTGAAACAGGGGATCGCCGAAGCGGCTGACGGGGTCGTGGACAGACTGCGAACGCTCAGCCGCAACATCGGCAGCCGGTTCATCGCCATCGACCTCCGCAGTGATGCTCTGGTGAAGAGAGGCTGCAAGGAGAGCGACGGCAGAAGCAAGGCTTGTTTCGGTGCACGGGAGACGGCAGAGTTCTTGAGGCGGATCGGCTTCAACGGAGACAACCCCATCTACGTAACCCAGACTCGGTGGGACGAAAGCCTCGACCCATTGAGGGAGTTCTTCCCGAGGAGCTACACCAAGGTGAGCAGCTTCTCGCAACGACTGCAGGACCACACGGCCATCACTGCTTTCTGCTTTCGTGGCGTTGCAGGACGATCTGATGCCTGCGGAGAAGAAAGGTGAGTTGGTCAGCTCAGGGAGCGAAGTGGAGAGAGCACTTGACCTCCTTGTTTGTGCCCAAAGCGATGTGTTCGTGCCTGCAATTTCTGGTCTGTTCTACGGGAACGTGGCCGGGAGGAGGATAGCTTCGGGCCGCCCGGAAATGGTGGTGCCATCTCGAGGGCCGCCTTTCTCCGCCAGAGCTTCTGATTTCGTCTCGAGCTATGTCTCCAGGAGGAACCACGTTGCGTACTCGTGTTACTGCTAACGCCGTTCGCAGTCATCTCCTCTACTGCTGCTCTGTGACTGTCCGATCATCGAAAGCGAGTCGCCGTATTGATGAACGTATATGGCATAATAAAAGCAATCGTTTGCCAAAAATAGAAAAAATCATATCTCTTGACGTGTGATCTATCTGTCAAAAATAGAAAAAAAAATCATATGAAGTGTTGTACGTAAATAATGTATAAAAATATTTTTCCGATATACAATAAAGAAAGACAAATGATATGATCATTATTTTTATTAAACCATTTTTCCGATACACAATAAAAGAGACATACCGTATTAGTTACCAAAAATGATAAAAATTTTGATAGACAAATACACAATGAGGAGAAGCAAATGATTTGATCATTATTTTTGACCAATTATGACTTGACACATGGAATCAAATCAATTAGCACTAGACATATTATGCCCGTTGCCAAAAAGATTAAAATTTGGTTAGACATCCATCTTTAACAGATTATTTAAAGAGGATAATATTTCATTAAATCAACAGTTACTTTTTATATATATATATATATATATATATATATATATATATATATATATATATATATATATATATATATATATATATATATAAAGGAATAAGTGATAAAAATATGAGATTGAGTTATATGATTTCGAATCTTAAGTATTGATAGTTTATTATTACTAGACCACCTAAAAATTTATCGACAAAGCTTCAAACCCTCACATAAATGTACCATAAAATTGTAGATTTCAAAATCCCAATATTTGATAAATAATAGCATGGTGTGTTTCTCTGATTCCAAAATGTCCAAATTTAGATTCTATTTCAATCATTCTACCTTTCGTGTCGAAATCTTCACTGCAGTCCAAAGATTCATCATAATTTAGTTCATGCTAAATTCTTCCCACATAACATGCAATCGACACATTTTAATTAGAAGATCTCCGTGAAAAAGGAGAAAAAGTAGTTCATCACATGATGTCAATACAAAAAACATGGATATATCTTCTCTTCTTCACTCCATTCCCAATTCATCTAAAAGTAATCTTGAATAATGCTTTAGTAGTTCATGTAGTTATTTACATGTGTTAAACAAGGGTGACATTTAGGTCCAATTTTGTGTGTCTATCACTTGGACCGGGTCCGGTTCGGGTTAGGTGGTTCCCGGATCCGACCCGGCCAGTCTCCACAAACGTAAGGCCATCGGATTGATAGCCGTGATTCTGTTTCCGCCCCTCGAAGCGGTGACCAGAACTCGAAAGTATGTTGTCCGCGTATTAGAATCATATGCGGATAAATAATCGACCGTCCGTATTCCGATAGAAAGCCCGAGATCACCGTCCATGGAAAGCATCGTCTCCTTGGCTTTTAACGCAAGGGGTGTTCGTATGCAATTATTTTGTGTTCGTTTGCTTTGGTTTGTTTGTGTTTGGGAAGTGGGAAAAGGCGAGATCTGGCCGACCTCTTCGTCTCCGACGGCGAAACGGGAAGGAGATAGCGGGAGGCGAGGAAAAGAACAGGCGGAGGAGGAGGAGGAGGAGGAGGGGGAAGGGGAGGAGGATAAGGGCGGCGGGTCCGAAGGTTCCTTCTCCGGGCGGCGGTGGGTGCGATGATCCGTAGCTCGGATTCGTGCGGCGCGTGATCCCTCGGAGCTTGGATCGCCCTCACCATGTCCTCGTGGTTCTCGTTTTGGCGATCCAGGAACCGCTTCTCGTTGGACGAGCTTCGGTGCGTCGCTTCCTCTCTTTCTTGGTTCTTCTTTCTTTAGGGTTTCCGATCTCGGGATTTCTTGGTTGAAAATTGGGTGCTAGGTTTGGGCGTTTCGTCTGAGATTTCTTGACCTTGCCGAAATGCTTATTGTGTATTAATTGGCTCAAATTCGTGGAAGTTGGTTTGAATTTAGAAGAGAAAAGAAGGGGATACATCATTCAATTGACACATCACAGAAGCGGGAAATCATAGTCCATTATCCCTTCAAAAAGCAACAGGAAGACGAGAGGGTGATTATCGTTGAAGAGTATTTTTTTTGTGATATGTTCGGCACGTAGGAACTTGCAGTTGTAGGAACATCTAGCTTTTATATTTTAATAGTACTCATTTTATTTCCTGGTTTAATTTATCTATTTAAATTGTCCGTGGGAAGGCACCATTTTCAATAGAAATGGCAGATTTTCTCTTGATGACACTCTTGCTGAGACAATCGATTATGCAACTAGACTTTTGTTTTTTAAAAAACGTGCCTGTTGGAAACTTGGTACCAAGCAAACCAATGGATATGGACATGGATGACTCTCACTATATTCTTTTGTCTTTTGGTTGGTGAAGATGGGTAATTTGTAAGAACGGATCTGGAATGAGGCGCCCAAGATTGCTGTTTGGAAAATGATGTGTTGGTCTTGGTTTATTGCGGGATATAAGTTTAGAGAAGAAAGAGCTCATAGGAATATAAGCTGGATACACAAGAATGTTCTTGCCCCCTAATGATTATGATGGTTTCCTCCAATTACTTAAACTTAGTTGGAGCTTTTCTGCGTAATATGTTAACTTAAAACATAAAGCCTAATCATAACCCTGCAGAATTTCTCCTTGAAATACTTGACAAACTTATGATTTCCTCAAGTTAGTGTAAAGCAGCTGCCACATCCCATTGCTTGCCACCTTCAGGCTGCAATTGCTAGTGTCCTTCATCAGCATGACTTTTCTTCGAACGATGATATCATGCATTTTTTAGATTATTAATTTACTAATGTGTCTGCACTGTATTAGTGTTTCTAATGAAGAAGAACTCATGTTCTCCTATTAGATATGCTTATACTTGTAATTGCTGGTAACTCATTGGGATCTTTGTTGAGCTTCTCTGCTTGATATAGTTTTCCGAAATGAACATATTCAGTCATTTGTGCCCCTCAAAAGGATGGCACAATAATTTAGCTTTGGGTATAGGGTGAGATCCAAAATATTGCTTGTATGCCTGGACGTTGTAATTGCTTTAGAAGAATTTAGTATATTGTGTAACAAACATCAAGATTCTATGACGGGGAAGAAAGAACTGCTTGTTATTCTGATGTTTCGAATGCCTTTCAACGTGAGTGATTGGAAGCCTTATGAGTTGTGATTACATTTATTTTAGCTTGAAGTGTTGTTTTGCTGGCTTGATCCAACTACTTTTAAATTATCTGCAGCTTATTTTATTTGACTTTGTGCCCGTCTCACTACGAGTCTCTTTACATTTGCATTTTTCCCCATATTACTTGTTCATCACTATCTGGTCTTTGAATTATTGTGAGTTAAGTAGGTTCTAGTATCTATTTTGTTTTGTGGTATCCAACCATTTTAACATCACTCTATTTGGTACAGATATCTAACAGATCAGCTGCAAAAGGTTCAATTTGTGAATGATGTCAACAAGGTAAATTTTTGCTTGATTTGTTCCATACATCAAAATTTCATCGATCAGTGTTCATATTGCCATGCTCTGTCATGAAGGATTCTGTAATTGAAGTGTTGAGATCCATTGCTGAACTAGTGACATATGGTGACCAGCATGATCCCTCCATTTTTGAGTGAGTAAATTGCTTCAGTTCAGTTCCTCTTTTATGCACTGGCATTAGTAATATAGTCTGGTTTGCCTTTTAGGTTCTTCATGGAGAAGCAGATTATGGGTGAATTCGCACGAATATTGAGGATTAGTAAGCTGGCAAATGTTGCGCTTCAGTTGCTACAGACGATGAGCATTATGATCCAGAATTTAAGAAATGACCATTCAATTTGTAAGTAAATGCTTAGTGTTTCAACAGTTGGAACATAATTAGTGCCTACTTTTTGGCATATGACATGATTGCCACTTCTGTTGCAGACTACATTTTCAGTAATGAACACATTAATTACCTCATTACATATTCCTTTGACTTCCGAAATGAAGAGCTAGTGTCATACTACATATCCTTTTTGAGGTTTGTGATTGCTTTCTTCGTGTGTATCGTATTTCCTGTATCATACTATGAGAGCTTCTTTTACTCTTATTTTGAGTTCTATATTACTTAACTACCCAGATTCTTTATCTTTGAAGGGCAATCAGTGGAAAGTTGAACAAGAACACAGTCTCATTGCTTGTGAAGACTGAAAAAGTATGGAACACAGTTTTTAATATGCAATTACTGATATCCTTTTTAGTGTTGTATGTTTTGATTGTTTGTGTTCATATTATGTATTTAAATCAACAAAGTAGCAGTCACATACCTTTTTCACGTTTCAGTAATAATGTGGGTAAAAGAATATGGAACTTGTACTGGTCATCGGAGAATTAAGTCCATTATACATCTCAAACTTATGGCAGCACATATCAGTCAGATAGTAATTTATCTCTTTGAGCATATGGAGCTAATATACAGGCACATATATAGGATGACACACTTGCATAAAGGATCTGAGTTTTGGAGGAGCAAATATACCTGGTCCATTTTGTTATTTGTCATCAACCATTGTGTTCTATAGTAAAAGAAAATGGTGTATCTACTATCTAGTTCACGAGGCTCTCACCAATACAGGGATTGGGCAGGGTTAATGTACAAAGTAGTACCTCTGATTCCATGACTCAAACTTTGGGATCTTGTGTACCAAGGCTCGCCCTTATCAATTGTGTTACAATTGGTTGTAAGTTATAAGATGATGAGGAAGCGAATAAAGAAGAATTAGCATGCAGTACTTTGGATTAAGGATTACAATTTTGATTCGTTACGGTGTACCAAGCCTTGCTTGATACGGTACGGTCCGAGGCACACCGACGGTATACTAGTATGCCTAAAATCATAAAAAAACCCTCCAAAAATACATGAAAAATAGGAAAAATAGATAAGGGTTTTGAAGTTAGAAATAAATATAAATTTAGTATAATTTTAGCAAAAATAATGTAAATTGACCTAATATTGATTAAATTTTGATTAAATTATTAATAAAATCATTAATCACAGTATTAAAAAACTTAATTAAACCTATTATACCATCACAAACATATGATTCAATCATTAATATGCATGAAAGATTGGACCTATTAAGTGTCTAGTTTCAAAAAAAATAATATTAAACACACTAATAATAATATTAAAG